GTGGCTATTGTACAGATGAATTAACAGGAAAACGTGTTGTATTACCATTATCAGTTGAAGGTCAAGTTGATCATTTGATTCGTGTATGTGATAAAAATTTACATATAACTTTCATTTATTGATTTGTTTTTGTTTAATTTAGCAAGCAACAAGTAATGAACTATTATGTCAGATGTTTATCGGTTGGGCTGCTTATTTATGATAGAAACAAAATCATTTCAGATATCTATATATATATATAACTATTTTTTTTTGTATTTTTTTGATAGTTACTTAGTGCAATAAAAAGAAATTATATGATTAGTCATTGTGAGTTGAATAATTAAAGAGGTATATACACTTGACAGATGCGTGTGTGATTAATTTGTATTTCAAGTGGATGAAATCAATTGAATGATGATAACATATGGTTTTATCTTTAACATATGAATGAATGAATAGAGAAGAAGAAGAAGGAAAAAAAGAAAGAGTGATTGATTTTTAATCTCTATGCATACAATTAAGATTTGTTTGTTCATTCTTTCCATATGTATATATAATTTTTATTTGATAAAAGAAAGAAAAGAGAAAGAGAAGCCTAGTTTTATTATTTTATAATTTTCATGAAGTAAGTGAAACGAGCTTTGTCTTCTCTTCAATGTATAGGATATTGATGATTGAAATAAACAATAATGAAAGTGAGCTTGATTTGAATGTTCACTAGTAATATTGTTCGTTTTCAATTGATCAGCAATATGTATCGATCATCAATTCTTCTATTTCTTCTTATTACTATTTTAATGATATCATTTACAAATGGAAAGAATATAACAGATCAAAAACAACAACAACCATCAATATCTACACATAAACCAGTTAGTATTAAAATATGTGGTTTAGCTTTAATTCGTATGCTTGATATGGTATGTACAAAAGCAAGACAATTATTAATGAAGAATGGAATATTATCTTCGTCATCACCACCACAAGCTAAAAGACAATTTAATATTGAAGACGATCCATATTCACGTACAGTTTCAGTTACTGACTATTCACGTAAGTTCTATTATTATTATTACATTGAAATACATTTTTTTTTCTGAAAATATTTTTTAGAATTTAATGATACCTTGGTTGGTGATTGTTGTCTTCAAGCTTGTACATTGAAAATATTATTAAAATATTGTTAAATAGAAATCTAGGCGTAATTATCATTGAACAATAGTAATAATTGTTGTGTGTACGTGTGTGTGTGTGTAGGCAATATAAGTTTATCAATTATTGTTGTGTGTTTGTTCTTCTTTTTTTTGCTTTTAATCTTCCGTTCAATAAAATTTATAAGACGGCATCAAAATATTGCCAAACATGATTTTACATCTTTAAGATGCCTTTTTTAATGAATAATATATTGTTAAGGAAATAAAAAATAACGTTTACATTTATATATGTAGACTTGGGATTATATGCTAGAGGAATGCTCTTATCGATTGATTTAGCTTGTTATGATAGGGCAAAGCGATGATCAGAATTATTGGATAGTGAGTATAGGTTTCTTGAATATTATCTATATTATGCAAACTTAGTGCCATACCAGGACGGTATAGACATGTTTGCTTTATCGCCAGTGATTAAGATTTAGAGATGCATCATAACTATCCTGTATTTGTCGGATGAGATCAATGTGATATCAAATATTTCTCTTTTATTCTCTAAGTTAAATATTCGATTTTACTAACAATTTAGACTACAGATGGCGTTACTTTTTGTATCTATGACTGATCTTGATCAAATCTATTGTTTTCATGATATGTGATAATGATGATGAATTTTGACATAAAAACAATTAAAATATTATGTAGGTTAGAAAAGATCAATATAAAATATAAAGAGTTATGAATAACTTTTCATTTGGTAACGAAATTATTCTATAACCAATCATGGTTGAGAGAACAGCTGGAAGTTTAAATTATTGCAGTATTGCAACAGCACGATTTTCGCTTTTTCTGTTCATTTTCACTTCTTTTTTTTATTATGTCCAACAAACCGAACCGAATACCTCGCGTATTATCCATTCAAAGTCATGTTGTTCATGGTTATGTTGGTAACAAATGTGCCACTTTTATTTTACAGGTTTATTTATTTTATTAAATTTCATAATTTGGTTACAATAGTGAGCATAAATCTTTTCAGTTGTATGGTTTCGAAGTCGATATAATCAATTCTGTTCATTTTTCCAATCATACTGGTTTGTAATTATCCTTATACTTTAATTAGTTATCTTTTAATATTAATTAGGATACAATGTTGTCAAAGGTAGTCGATTAACTGCTGATGAACTTCGATCTATTTTTGAAGGCTTAATGGCGAATGAACTTTTTGATTATGATTATATCTTAACTGGTTATATGGGCTCAGGTGAATTATTACGTGTTGTTGCTGAATATGTTCGTTTGATCAAATCAAAATCTCCTCATGTCAAATATCGTAAATATTCAAAGAAAAAACACATGATTAACTTAACTTCTTATATATTGATCTTTTTAGTTTGTGATCCAGTAATTGGTGATAATGGTAAATTAGTAAGTAAAAACTACTTCATTATATAATCATTTATTATTATATTCTAGTATGTGGATCAATCATGTGTTGACGTATATAAGAATATCATTCTACCTCTAGCTGATATTGTTACACCCAATGATTTCGAATTAGAGTAACAAGAAAAAAAATTTAATGAATGTAATTTTTTTATCAGTCTTATGTAGGCAATTAATTGGAAGAAAGATTGAATGTAGTGATAATAATAAAGAACAAATCATTTGGCAATCATTACAATCTTTGCATAGTATGGGTCCATCTCATATTATTATGTCAAGTATTTTAGCAACAAACACAGATGGCCAAAAATCTCAATTACAGATGTATGCTAGTTCAAAAAGTTCAGATAATCAATATGAAACATTCCGAATTGATTTTCCATATCTCAAAGGATGTTTTACTGGTACTGGTGATTCATTTTCTGCTTTAATTCTTGCATGGTTTCATAGAGAAGGTAATCTCATTGTAAGTTAATATTTTTTTAATTTTCTCTTACTATTATTAGTATTATTATTTAGTCTGCATGTGAAAAATCAATTTCTATTCTTCATCAAATTCTATTGAATACAATTGGTAATTTTATTTTTATTTTTAATTGATAAATTTAAAATCGAGCTTTTCATTATTTAGAATTATCTCAATCAGTTAATACTCATAATACTCTTGGTAATGAATTAAATTTAATTGAGAGTCGAACAGCTATTGAAGCGGCTAAAATATTATTTCATGCAGTTCGTACAGATACAAAAAAAGACATTAATTAATCACATTTATAAAAATTCTATTACATTTATTATTAAAAAATGATCAATGCATTTACTATTTATTTTATTTTTTTTTTGAAAGATCAAACTCTTTTTTTTGCAGATGTTTCCTCGGCGTGTTCTTTGTGGTATACAGCCATCTAGTGTTCCACATATTGGCAATTATTTAGGTATGTTTTAAACAATGTACAAGCCATTTCTCTATTGTGTTTAATTGACGATAGGTGCGATTAAAAAATGGATTGATTTACAGAATAGTGGAGATAATTTAATTGTAATGTTAGCTGATTTACATGCAGTTACTATTCCACGTGAACCTGATGTATTGAGGTATAAAGTAATAAATAAAAAATTGAACTTTTTATGAATAAATAATATATTTCAGAAAATCAGTCTTAGAAACAGCTGCATCTTTAATTGCGTGTGGTATTGATCCTAAACGAAGTATAATCTATCGACAATCAGATGTAAGAATAAAACTTTCGAATTTTTAAGATAATACAAACGTTTCTTTTTGTTTTATTCAAGCTTTATCATCATACTCAATTAGCTTGGTTACTTGGTACATTGACAACTGTTCAAAAAGTTGCTCATATTCCTACATATAAAGTATCTCGAAAAATGTTTTTTTTTTGTTTCGTAATCAATGAATTTTTGTTTATTTTCAGTCAAAAGTAAAAGATGAAAGTTCAATACCTTTAGGTCTTATTCTCTATCCAGTTTTACAATCTGCTGATATACTTCTTTTTAAAACTACTCATTTACCAATTGGTGAAGATCAAATACCTCATTTACAATTATGCACATATATGATTGAAAAATTCTATCATTATTATAAACAAAATATATTTCCTGTTCCACAAATGATGGCTAGTTCGTAGATAGATTTTGTTTTATCTTGAATAATTATCTCTTTTTTGAATAGCTGAAACAAATCGTATACGAAGTCTTCGTCATCCGGAACAAAAAATGTCGAAATCTGATTGGGAAGAACGTTCACGTATTGATATTATGGATGATGAAAAGATTATTCGTGAACATGTAATGAAAGCTCTAACAGATTTTAATGCTAAAATTTCTTATGATCGTCAAGCAAGACCTGGTGTAACGAATTTAATTGATATTTATTCTGGTATAACGAATCAGCCAGTTGAAACAATCGTTGCTGAAGCAGAAAAAGAAAATTTAAATACGGGTGCATTTAAAAAACGTCTTGCACAAATAATTATTGAACATTTTCGTTCAAAACGTATAGAATATTTAAAATTAATGGATGATCGTTCACATTTATTAAGTATACTTAATGATGGACGTGAACGTGCTCATGAAATAGCTGATAAAACATTGAATGAAGTTAAACATATCATGGGCTTTAATTAGATTTTGTTTGTGTTTTTTAGATAAAAATTTATAGAAATGAACGCTTTTGAAACAGAATTAGGTGTACAACCTGAAATAGCACGAGCTGTGGATGAAATGGGTTGGTTATTACCAACTGATGTTCAAGGTGAAGCTATTCCAATGATTCTTGGTGGAGGAGATGTTTTAATGGTAAAATAAATTTAAAAAAAGACTCAGTAATATTAAATGGAATTTTTTGCTTTGAAATTTAGGCAGCAGAAACAGGTAGTGGAAAAACGGGTGCGTTCTGTTTACCAATCTTACAAATTGTACATGAAACATTAAGAGATATTCAAGAAGGAAATAAAGGTCCTCGAGCAGGAAAACAAGCTGCTGCAACTAGTGGTGCACCAAGTGCTGTACAACTTAGTTTTCATGATCGTTCACATGGCTTAGGTAATTATTTTTATAATATCTTAAATAATTTATGAATATTTTTGTTTTTCTTAGCTATTGATACTGATGGTTTAACATGTCAAAGTCGAGATCAACGAATATGGAATGGTGCACGTTCGACTAAAGGTGTTAAAGGCAAAGGTAAGATATCATTATTATATTTTCTTTGTATATATTATTCATATTATTATTATTAGGTCGATATTATTTTGAAGTAACTCAAACTGAGGCAAATGGTATTGTACGTGTTGGGTGGTCTGTACCTGTAGCTCAACTCGATTTAGGAACTGATAATCTCGGTTTTGGTTATGGTGGTACCGGAAAAAAATCATTTGCAAAACAGTTTGATGATTATGGTGAAACATATGGTGTTAATGATGTTATCGGAAGTTTATTAGATCTTGATCAAATGAAAATTCGATATTTTAAAAATGGTTTTAATTTAAAAAATTCTTTTGTTCATTTATAAATTATTATTATTCATTTTAATAGGCAAAGATCTTGGTAATGCATTTGATATTCCTCGTCCATTACAAGAAAATACATTTTTCGCTCATGTTTGTTTGAAATCATGTGATGCTCAAATTAATTTTGGTGCACAACCATTTAAAACAACACCAGTAAGTCTTATTTTTGTTTTTTTCAAATGATCTATGAATTTATTTTAATATTTAGACTGGTGCTGTATCAATTGATAATGCACCAAAAGAATGTTTAGTTCAATCACAAGTAAAAGGTATTAGTAGTAATGCAGCCGCAAAACAACGCCCACCAAATGCTCCATTAGCAATTATTATGGAGGTATGAAAAATAGTTTTAAATATATTGCAAAATATTGCTTTTTGTAGCCTTCTCGAGAATTAGCTCAACAAACATCCGCTCAAATTCAATCATTCCAAAAATATTTAGATAATCCTCGAGTTCGGTAAGATTTGATAAAAGAAAATGAAAAGTTTCAAATTGTTTCTATAAAATAGAGAACTTGTGATTATTGGTGGAGTACCTGTTGGCGAACAAACACGTGTATTACATCAAGGTGTTGATATTATTGTTGCAACACCAGGTCGTCTAGATGAATTAATCGGTAGTGGTGAAATTGATTTAACACAAATGCGATTTTTTATTCTTGATGAAGCGGTAAAATACAAAAATTATTTATTCAATATATTTTTAGAATAATTTTTTTTGTTTCTTAGGATGGCTTATTATCTCAAGGATATAAAGATTTAATAATGAAATTACATCGAAAAATGCCTAGTGTAACATTAGATGGCAAACGTTTACAAATGGTTGTTTGTTCAGCAACATTACATAATTTTGAAGTTAAAAAATTAGCTGATTCAATTATGCATTTTCCAACATGGGTTGATCTTAAAGGACAAGATGCTGTACCAGAAACTGTTCATCATGTGGTATATTAAATATCTTATATTATTTGATCTTGTTGTAGTTGTTGTTTTCGTTTAGGTTTGTATCATTGATCCAAAGAAAAATACAATTTGGCGTGGATTACGTAATCATATTAAAACTGATGATGTTCATTTAAATGATCAATTGAATATTCAAAGTGATTCAAAAGGTAAAATTATTCTTTTTGTTCAATTTTTTATTTATTTTAAATATATATATAGAAACACTTTCTGAAGCAGTAAAAATTCTTAAAGGTGAATATTGTTTACAAGCTATTGAAAAATTTAAAATGGATCGTGCATTAATATTTTGTCGAACAAAACTTGACTGTGATAATCTTGAACGATATTTTATTAAACAAGGCGGTGGTAAGAAATAATAATGATACGAGAAAAAGATTAGAAATTCATTTTCTTAGGACCAAAATCTAATAATCATCGATTATCATGTGTATGTTTACATTCGGATAGAAATCCTGATGAACGACAACGTAATTTAGAAAGATTCAAAGCTAATGAAGTTAGATTTTTAGTTTGTACGGATGTGGCTGCTCGTGGTATTGATGTTAGTGGTTTACCATTTGGTAAGATCTAAGAAAATATATACATAATAAATATGATTTGTTTTTTAAAAATTTAGTTATTAATATGACATTACCAGACGAAAAAGAAAGTTATATTCATCGAATTGGACGTGTTGGTCGTGCAGAACGGTAATTCATCATATATGTCGATTTATTTATAATATTCTTGTATATTTAGAATGGGTTTAGCGATAAGTTTTGTTTCAACAGTACCAGAAAAAGTCTGGTATCATACATGTCCAAGTAAAGGTAAAAATTGTCATAATACAAAATTAGTTGAACAACATGGTTGTTGTAAATGGTATACGGAAATGACTTATTTGTCTGATATTGAAGAACATCTTGGTATGAGAAAGAAATAAAGAAGAGTTTATTTTTAATTTTATCGTAAATATTTCTTCTTACCAGGTGTAACAATTTCACAAACAGATGAAAAAATGGATATACCAATTGATGAATTTGATGGAAAAGTTACTTATGGTCAAAAACGAAAACAAGAAGGTTAGATTAGATTCAAATGAAAATGAGATTTTCTAAATCTAAGTTTGTTTTATTCTAGTATCAGCAGCTAAAGGTCATGTAGATTCATTAGCAGCAACAGTCGATGAATTAGTTGAACTTGAAAAACGTGTTCAAACATCCTTTTTCGCATTACGAAATTGTCGCAATCTAATGACAGCATAATAGACATATATTTAATTTGTTTTAGTTTTCTTTTTCTTTTTTCTTCTTTCATTTGGGCGTTGCCTTTTTTTTGTTGATATTCAAGCATGTGGCCTTTTTAAAATGATTAAAAAACCGAGCTATTAAACTTGTTATATATCTTACATGTTTTTTTCGCAATATTTATTCGCGTAATTCAGATTCGTTCGTTTGACGCAGAAGCTAAAGATGGTATATATTAATTGCTGATAATTATAAGTCAAAATATTCTATGTATATTTTTTGTTTTGGAGAATCACCAATCAATTACATATTTGATTTGAAATGATAATTATTTTGATTGACAATTATAAAACTTACCTGGAAAAAGACATGATAAAAACATTATTTTATACTTTGATTTTGAAACTATATTTCATTTATTAGATTTTACAAATAATGTCTTTTATAAAAAATATAAAACTTTGTGAAACTATTGTATTGAAAATTTAATTTCGAGATATTCTTTTCATTTTTGTTGTTGGTTTTGGAGCAGATAAATCTTGTTGTAAAAGTTCGCTTTTACGTTCTTTCGATGCTATAAAAAGTGCATGAGCTTGTTCATTGTCAACATATCCATCGTCTTTACATGGATGAAATTGTAAATCAGGATCATCACTTTTACAATTATCGATTTTATTAAGAAATCGATTTGATCCCAATTTTTCTGGACCAGGACTTGCCGCTGGAGATTGTCGATTTTGTTTCTAGATATAAAAGTATAATTTAGAAAAAAAGAGTTAAATTTAATAATCAACTAACTTTTGTTGCTGACTTTTTAGGAATAATTCTTTTGTGTTCAGCTATAATTTTCTTTACATCATCACTCGGACTACCTGTACGAATATAATCATAAATTTTATCAAGATCTTCATATACTTGATCTTCAGATGTAGGTTCTATATCAGGAGAATATGGTTCTTTTCTATTATCTTTTATTGTTACATGACGACTCCGAGGTCGATGGGTTGTTTGTTGTTGTGCAGTGTCTAATGATGATTTTTGTTTAACCGTATCCTCACTTTCTCGATTATGTAATGAATAAGCTGTTAAAAATGATAATTCATCCGAATGACGACGACGATTATTTAATTGTTCTGCCGAATGTAGAATTCTTTGTCTAAATTCTTCATCCAAAGGTTCTGTATATGATGCCGAATGTGAACGTTTTTTATATAATCCTCGTTTTCGTTGATTTCGATCTATTGTTAATGAAAGAGGAAAATGAACAAGTGTTATTTCATCATGATAGTATTGAATTATTTGTGCACAACTTTTTATAATTTTACGAAAGCCACTAGTTCTTAATATCTCATTCATATTTGTACAAGGTTGAATTTCAATATCCGCATTAACTGAAAGTGGAAGAACGATATAAGGTAATGATGTTTTAGCAGCTTTTAATGATACTTTATTTAATGGACATGCAAAAACAATTCGTTCATTATGTAATCCAAGTAAACGTAATTTTGTTGGTGTTAAACATGATGTATCATTTCGATTAATAACTGCTGGTGCATAAATATTATCGAATGAAAGTGGACCATCAAGAAGGCGAACATTTATCGGAAAACGAAAATTTGATAATATATCTTTTATTTGAAAAACATCCGATATATCAATATAATTCATTCGTGTCTTTAATTCTGAACAGTATTTTTCACGATTGAGTAAACTAAAAAGTGCTGGTTCATCAACAGATATATAAACAATATTATTTTGTTCTGTTCGACATCGTACATAATGTTCATATGATTCCGGAGTAGATTTTCTACGTATATTTTCATTGAATATAGTTTCAAGATGATTTGACTGTCGATGTTTTTTTGACGAAAAAAGTCTTGATGTCGTAGCACGCATCCAATTTGTTGGTGAAAAATGTGGTGATGAAGGACTTGATGGTTTATGTTGTTTTATTTCTTTATAAGGTATTTGTGTTCGAATAGCATAACAATCGTCTAAAATAACTAAAGTTTGTCCAGCATGAAGAATTTCCGAATCATCATTTAATATAACAGTATTTTTGTGTAAATCTAAATCTGATGATGATGAATCATAACATGAATCAACACTAACAGTTAGAGTTGATCTTTGATCATATGTTTCTTTTTTTGTATATGCATTACATGAACTACGAAGAAAAACAGCAATTGGAGTTTTTTCACTACGTTTGTCGGAATCATTATCATCATATTCAATTTTAGGTAAATCACCTAATTTATAATAAGGTTCAATTGGTTGATCATTTGCATTAAGTAATTCGAAAAAACTTCGATATTCACATGGTATACGACATAATGAAACAGATGACGAACGTTTTTCATTTAAAAGTTTAATAAATGTTCGTAGATTATATGCATTCTCATCATCATCATCATCATGAGGATAATCATCATCATTTATATTATTACCTTTTTGATTTGCTGCAGATAGAGAAGCAACTGATTTCGATAATTTTTTCATCGTACGAACTGTTGTTGATGATTTTGTCATCATTTTACTTTGTGATAATGTTAATCGACCACGTTGAGATGAACTACGTCCATCATATGATCCATAATAATCTGCTATAACAGAATCAAGTTGATCAACTTTTAATAAAAGTAATGGAGTATTTTTAATTAAAATATTTTTTATAGATCGTCCATAATTATTTAATGATATTATATTAACTATAAGTGGCAATTGATATGTACTACTATCCAAATCTGTAAGAAGTTCTTTTAATTTATATACAGAATTATCATAATAAACTGCTGGTATACCATTATTTAATAAAATATCCATAATTATTGATTTGACGTCATCAAAACAAACTGAAATAAATGTACGAAATAAACAACACAATGACTCAACGATATATTAATTTTTACTTACTGATTATTTTTTGCGAACAACACAATTGAAGGCTTATATGCAGTTAAGTTTAATCTTACTTACTCTCATTCATATATTTACGAATTAAGTCGTATTTTGTTTTTTCTTTAGTACAAAGTTAGAGACGCTCTCTGATTAATACATAAAATAAAAAAGAATACAGGAAGTATCGAAATGAGCTTTCGTATAAAATGATTCGTACAGGTAAAGAAGAAAAAAAGAGAGTAACATCAATATATGACCACGTGTACATTATGCACAATTTTTTGTTTTTCTACTTGATATACCTATTCACATAGTTCGATGATAAAATATTTTATATTAGTATTGAAATCTATCATACAAAGTCATGCATTAGCCTACGCATATCCTGTCGTGTGATGGCTTAATTAATAGAATAATAATCTTTTAATTCTTATATATATATATCATTTCCATTTCTATTGATATATATATATTTAAAATTCTAACGTAAAAGAATAATGTTTTCTTATCAATCAAAAGATAACTATTCATCACATCTTTTGCGTGTCCTTCAAAAAAATCATGCTCGATTTCATAGACAATATTGTCCAGGTGGACAAAAACATAAAGTGCGTCTGATTGACGAAACAGAAAAAAAAAGCAGAGTGTGTGTTTTTTACGACTATCTTTCATGTTTTATATATATATATATATATTTAAGGTTTTATTGTGTATGGTTCGACATAAACAAAACTAGATAAAAAGAATACAACCAGACAGAAACCTGTTTAAAATAATAACAACAACAACAACAATAGAAATAAAAAAAAACTAAAATATTATTTTTGATATGTTACTTCAATGGGTGCTAGTGTTAAATGTATATCATCACCTTTCTTTTCATTTAATTCAATAATAATTCGATATTGTACTTCACATTCAATTGTTTGAGTTGTACCTACATAATGTGTTGCATATGATGTTTGTAAATGTTGATCGAATAAATGTAAATGTGCTTCACCAGTCCATTCATATTGTGATAATGTGGTTACAGCATCAAATATCCATTCTTTTCCATCTATTTGTAAACGATTTTCATCGTTATGTATACGATAAAATTGAATAAGACGTACTGTTATTGAACGAATTAAACGTTGTTGAGGATTTGAATAAGTTATTCGAACAGGAATTTCTTCACCAGGTCGATAAAAATTTCCTAATATAGAAGCACGTAAATGAATATCATTTCGATTGATAGCATGATCACTTAATTCAATACTAGTCATTGGATGAGGTATAGAACTGCGTGGACAAATTGTTATTGGTATTTGATAGCGACAACGACTTGATGATAAACTTAATTCTAATGTATAAACTACTGAGGGTAGGCGATTATTTGTTAATGATGGTGGAAGACCATCGGGTATATTTAGTTGAAATGTACCATTGATTATAGGTGGTGGTGGTATTATTGGTAATGATATTGATTCAGATGATGGAGATGCATGAACCGTTGCATCTAATTCAGTTTTAACATGACTTATAGTAACTAAACAACGTTCTCGACAAATATTAACTTTATGAGTAACATGTCCATCACTATCAGCAGCAGGATCAAGATCAGTTGAATAATTTGCATCTCCAACAAGTTCCATCATAATAGCACTACGTAGTGATCGTTTATGTAATGATTCCGCTGGTTTTCGTATTTTTATACTACTTGAATGACGATGTAAAAATGATCTTGGTATTTTAACTGTACCTGTTAAACGTTCACCACTAAAATAAAATCCATCAACATGATCTGTAGTAATATGAACTTCTTTTACTGTAGAATTTTGTCTACGTATTGTTGATTGAGACGATAAAGATGGTACATTAATATTATTATTATTATTATTATTGATTTTGTTACCCATGTAAAATGAATATTAATCGATTGCTAAGAAGAATATTTGACTTATCCTATGAGATCAATACATTTTCTTGTCCTTGTAATTCTAATCATGTTTGCTTGTTTTTGTATTGCCTTAAACTATCGAGAAAAAAATGAGAGAGAAAAAAAACCCTAGTTTTTCATTCTCTCTTATTTGCTGTATTTTCTTATTATTATATCATATGCCTGATTCAATATTATACAACCGACTAGTACTACTACTATATCTAGGTTGATGTAGACGAAAGCAAAAAGAAATTAGTTAGATGCCAGAGGTTATAGAGGAAGAAGATAGGATAAGAGAAAGAATATTTCTTTTCTTTTGCTCGCTTCCTTATTTTCTTTTCTTGTAAGTTTTTATAACAAATGACAGTAGAACCGTTAGCAATCAGTTTTATTGTTAAAATATAATGAATAGATCTTGTTCATTTTATGTCGTCGACATTCTATAGGGTATAATCGATTATATTCATTCAACAGTATTCATATCTTTTAATTTAAGATAAGATTCCGGTAAAAAATACAATTCTCTTGATTATCTATTAAAAATCTAGTTACCGAAAAAAGAAATTCTTTCAATGAAAAGTCATCAATCAATTAATTTTTTGCGAACAAAACAATAATATGATGATTAATTTAATAAAAAGGTCATCGTGTTCTTTTCGAATATATCTTTAGTAAACTATTTATCAAGTATTTAAGTTATCTTGACATGATTTGTTTATTCGATCATGAATGATTAGAATATGTTCTTTTTTTTTCATTTTAGATGATGAATTTTCTTTGTATATTAGAAGTTTTCTTAATTCTATATCCATTGTCTACAAATACAATTCGTTGCTATAAATGTGAAGCTACAAATGAATGTAAAACAATAAATAATGATGTATCATCAAAAAACTATTATCATTCATCAGATAATGTTGAAATAATTGAATGTGAATATTATTGTTGGAAATCAGTTTCACTTGGTAAATAATAAATAGATAAATTAATCTAATTCTGCTATATATATATATATATATTGATTTTTAGGAAATGTATATCGTGGTTGTGCAAAAAAACGTTGTGCAATTTCACATACAGTTGGAACATTTTCAAGTAGTGTCTGTTGTGGAACAGATTATTGTAATGGAATTAATCGAATGTTTGTATCAAAATTTCTCTTGAGTATCATCATTGGATCAACTTTAATATATCAATATTTATGATAGAAATATGTAGTTGTTATTATTCTTATTATTATTGCTATTACTATTAAATGACGTGAATAAAAATTTATCGTATATGAAGCAAAATAAAATAATATAAGGATGTCGATTTTCTGGTCTAAAAATTTCATGCTCGAAGATAGCATGCAATCTAATTATTGGACATGAAGTAATGACAGAGATTAATAATAGTAACGATTACTATTTAATTATTTCGCTATTTGAGTAATGATACTTGATGCAAATAAATTGCTGAAAGACTGGGTTGCAATAAATATTCTTCTAATCATCTATCATGATAAGAAGACATCAATATGTAGAGCAAAAAAACAATAATATAGATATTATACAAGCCTAAAGAAATATTGTTCAACTGAAAAAAACGGATTCCATTTTAATCAGTAAAAATATAATTTCGTTTCGAAATATTTTTATTGGTATAGTTTAAACCAATAATAAACACAAATGAATATAATACGGAATTGTATGGATAAAGATGAGAAAAAAAATATATTGCACTTTTTTATTTTTATCTATTAAAGTACGTTATTATTTTCAATTCTATTCATATTTTGTAGGCGTTTCTTCATTTGATATCATATATATATAGATTTACTGCTGTATTATTCAGTTAAACATATGATTAGTTACAGGAAATATATTCAGAAAGAAAAATAATTATTCCACTTGATAATAGAACAGATTAATAGTACTTATCACAAAGATTATGTATACTCGAAAAAAATTGCATATGGATTAGTTCTATTATTTAATTAATATACAATTCCATTATTAAATAGGGCATCATAAAAGTAGGTTTGACATTCTGATTTTTTTTCTTTTCTTTCTTGGTAAGTATATTGATATAATCGATTCAAGGACAGTCCACTGCAAATATTCACAATGTTATTCGTTCGAATATAATAAATACATTAGATAACGACTTTTTTACTTGCAGAAATATTATCTCAAGTTTTACTATAACCAGATTCATTGAACGAAATGATGTCTATTGTATTTTTTGTTGTAGATGAAACACTCGTTGTCACATATACCTTGACAAGGCTATGTATTCGCACGAGTGAACAAATCACAAAAAAAATGGTTTGTAATATTCTAAGTTCAGAGTACAACGTCTAAACACTCAATAATATAAATATTGCAGATATAATTTAGGCGTTTCTTTTATTATTTAATATTTCTAGATAAAAAAGAAATATCAGCATGAGTGGAGACGGCAAAATTCCTAGTTTTTTAACAGAACCATTAGCACAATGTGATCCTGAAATGTATGAATTAATTCGAAAAGAGAAACAACGACAGGTAAAGAAGAAAAATAATAATGTTATTATTTTTTGTGTATTAATTTAAATGATCAATACAGATTCGTGGTTTGGAAATGATTGCATCTGAAAATTTTACATCACGTGGTGTTTTAGAAACACTTGGATCATGTTTAACAAATAAATATAGTGAAGTAAGATATAAAACAAAATGCTTTTTATTTAAAAACGAAAGAAGATTTTTTTTATTCAAAGGGATATCCTGGTGTTCGATATTATGGTGGAAATGAAATTATTGATCAAATTGAAACATTAACACAAAAACGTGCTTTAGTAGCATTTGGTCTTGATGAAAATGAATGGGGTGTTAATGTTCAACCATTATCTGGTTGTCCAGCTAATTTTGCTGTTTATTCTGCACTTCTTGAACCACATAGTCGTATAATGGGTTTAGATTTACCTGATGGTGGACATTTAAGTCATGGATATGCTACACCAACAAAAAAAATTTCATTTACAAGTGTTTATTTTGAAAATATGCCTTATAAAGTTAACACGCAAACAGGTTTAATTGATTATGAAGAATTAGCACGCACAGCAAAACTTTTTCGACCAAAAATAATCATTGCTGGAATATCATGTTATTCACGTAATCTTGAATATGATAAATTTCGACAAATATGTGATGATGTTGGTGCTGTTTTACTTGCCGATATGGCACATGTTAGTGGTCTTGTTGCTGCTAAAGTTGTTGCTGATCCATTTCAATATGCTGATATTGTTACAACAACAACACACAAAAGTTTACGTGGACCACGTGCAGCAATGATTTTCTATCGTAAAGGACCAAAACGACCACAAGTTACTAATAAAACTGATAATTCAGTACAAATGTATGATTATGAAAAAAAAATTAATGAAGCAATTTTTCCTGGATTACAAGGTAATATTAATCTTTAAAAATTTTATTCTTATAATAATTTTTTTTTCGTATTCAGGTGGTCCACATAATAATGCTATTGGAGGTATTGCTGTTGCATTAAAACAAGTTGCATCTGATGAATTTAAAACTTATGCTCAACAAGTTGTTAAAAATGCTAAACAACTTGTTGCAACACTTCAAGAAAAAGGATATACATTTGTTTCAGGTGGTACTGATACACATTTAGCATTACTTGATTTACGTCCATTAGGTCTTGATGGTGCAAAAGTTGAACGTGTTTTAGAAGTTGCTGCTATTACTGTCAATAAAAATACATGTCCAGGTGATAAATCAGCATTAAAACCATCAGGTATACGTTTTGGTACACCAGCATTAACAACACGTGGTTTTAAAGAAAATGATATTATTCAAGTTGCAATATTTATTGATCGTGCTGTACAAATCGCACGTAATATTAATGAAAGTAATCCAAATCAAACTGTTAAAGATTTTAAAGCTAATATGAAATCAGAGCAATACGCACAAAAACTTGATGAATTAAAAGAAGAAATTGAAACATTTGCAGCAAAATTTCCAATGCCTGGTTATGAATCAATCTAAAAGTTCTTCTTATTTTCTGATCGTCTTTCATCTGAAAAAAAATCATTTTTTTGTGATATGATATATCGCTAGATTTTGGTGCAATTTTTTCCTATTCTATATTCAAAAACATCTGATAGCTTTAAATTTTAGATCAACTTTTTTTTTTGTTTGAATCATATTCATATAACAAAAATAATGAGTATTACTCATTGTATATTTGATTTGGATGGTTTATTATTAGACACTGAATCACTTTATACGGAATGTATACAGAAATTATGTACACCTTATGGAAAAAATTTTACAACAGAAATAAAACTTAAAATGATGGGTAAATCATCATTAGAAGCAGGACGTATATTAATTCGTAAGTTATTTATTTTATGTTATAAAAAAAGATACAATCGATTGAAAATATTCCTAGGTGAATTAGATTTACCAATAACTGAAGATGAATATTTGTTAAAATCAAATGCACTTTATATGGAAGCATTTCCTTCATCAGAACTTTTACCTGGTGTCGAACGATTAATTAAGCATTTAGCAGCTCATAATATTCCAATGGGTAAAAATTTCAAAAATTTTATAAATCAATAAATACTATTTCAATTATTTTAGGAATTGCTACAGGTTCTTCATATGAATTATATAAACTTAAGACTAGTAATCATATGGAATTATTTAAAGTATTTAATCCAATTATTTGTACGGAACCAACAGAAACACGTTTAAGTAAACCAGCACCGGATATATTTCTTGCATGTGCAAAACAATTTTCTAGACCACCACTTTCAATAAGTCAATGTTTAGTATTTGAAGATGCTGAAAATGGTATTCGAGCTGCTGTTGCTGCAGAAATGCGAGTTGTATTTGTACCAAGTTTACCTATAAATGCATATGATCCAGCTGTTATTAAAAACGCGACAGTTACATTAGATAGTCTACTTAAATTTGATCCAGTTATATTTGGTTTACCATCATTTAACGATACCCAAAAATGAAGAGAATGAGAATTTTTTTTATTGTATTTCATACATTTTTAATGTTTTAATGCTAATAAAATAAGTAAGGAACTACTGGTGAAATAATTAATAGAAGAATCATTTCCATTATCTGAATTGACCAATCATTACTGTGCAAAACATATCACGATTTGAAAATGAGAAAATATGCGCTAATAATGCTTATTAACTAAAGAATTTTCAACATAAGTATCTAGTAAATTATCAGTCATTAGTTATATTTCCTTTTGAAATGATAAAACTGTGTCTAAATACGGTTATGCAAAATTTGTTATATTCCTACTGCTAAATATATAAGACATATCGAAGATAAAGTAACTGTACTCATTTTTTTCTTCTTCTTTTTTTCGTACTTCATAGGAAGTAAATTACCATGTATATGTTTCTTTTTCTTGCCAATTTTTTTCTGTTCTTATTCTTCCTATTCGTGCAAATTTCTATTTATCAGTTTTGTATGTTATATGAGACGAAGCGGTAAAGAGAAAAGAAAAGATATTTAACATTGATTGGCTTCCTCTCAAATGATCATTAGTTTTGTTGGTGAATATTATCATCTTTAGTTTAACTATTATTATCAATGTCATCGACATCGAAATCGTTTCTAATCAAAGATATTCTTTCGGAAAATTCTGAATCAACATCTTCCGATGAAAGTAATGATAATACAGAAGTTTTTCTAACTAAACCAATTGATCTTCGACGGTATTTTAATCATCCATTATATCCAATTCCTTTACGACCAAGTTCTTTACTACTGTCAAAACCAACAACAACGACAACAACATCAACATCAACACTACGTAATGCATTTCGTGTCGATAATAATGCACAAAATTCACCATTGGATGCTCTATTTGAAATGACGAAGAAAACATTTGATAAAACGAATTCAAGTAAGTTATTTATTGATATTTATAATGAGAAGCTTAGTTGACTAGTTACTATTCAGTAAGAAAACTCAGAGTTTCTAACGTTTTGATTTGTTGAATTTTCTTTTTTTTTGATTGGTTATTATCAAAGAACAAATGAACATATATCGAAAGACAATTCAAATCGTTATTTTTAATATCATTAATAAAAATCGATTTTTAATCATATTTATCTACCATATGTATTAACAAGTTCTTTTTGTTATCTAATTCATTTTATTTACGGTCCGTTTAATATTTTTCAATTTGTGCCCAATTGATTATCAAATTCTTTTTAAAGGTCAAGTGTCTGACATGTACTCCCGATAATCAATAGAAGTTCATCTCTTTTTTTTCTTCTCTCTTTTTAAACTATATACGTGTGAGCCTTGTCTATTCGTTTTATCTTTGGTAATACAGCGAAACGAATGAATTGAGTTTGAAATGAAGCATTCAGTGTTGTTTTATATACACTCAATCTTGTTTTGAGAATGAGAACAGTTACTTCAAACATGTGTATACCAATTACAACTGTTTGGACTATAACAACAGACGTATATATATATGACGAATGATGATGACAAACGAGTAATTTTTCCTCATAGAAAAAAGAAGAAGAAAGTCTCATCATTAATCGATCTACATGGCACAAATTAATTGTTTCTTTCGGCATATCTTAGAGTGTATATATTTGGTACTCATAATTGGATATCACAGTTTGTTCATCTTTCTTCTTCTTCTTGTATGTTGATTTGATATCGATCAATTTGATATATGATTATCACCACTGTTTAGAACATAGATCATTGGAAACTATTTTTTCTATCAACAAATATGATTAGCTTCTGCTGATAGACTTTTTTTCTGTTCGTTCGTTCGTTGTGCGTCATCGATTATTAAGCTCATTTGTCATTATATATACAACATATGTTAAAAAAAGATTTCTTTTTTTTTAATATTAGATGCATATGATGCGGATGTATCATTAAAATTAACACATGAATTACATAAAAGAAAACGACGAAAAAATCGTACAGCTTTTAGTGCACAACAAATTTATGCATTAGAAAAACGTTTTGCACATCAACGATATTTAACACCCAATGATCGTGATCAAATTGCTAATGAATTACAACTTTCACCTGCTCAAGTTATTACTGTAAGTTTTATTATTATTATTATTAAATTCGTTCTTTTTTTAAATATTTTAATTTTAGTGGTTTCAAAATAGACGTGCTAAACTTAAACGAGATTATGAAGAATTAAAGAATGATGTAAATGCAGCACGAAAATTACAAGCTATGGGAGAACCTGTTGATTTCAGTTGATTGTTTTTTTTCTGTTTTTCTTTCCTTAGTGTATTTATTAAATAATAAAGTGTGTACAAAGAGAGATTTAATTCTTTTTTTTTCAATATTTTAAAGGATAGATAAATCGATAATTCGTACTATTTAGATAAAACAAAAGGTTAGATAGTTGATTATTATTATTATAAACTTTTGAAATGCTATTTTACTTAACCCTTCGTGGTTGTCGTCGGATCCACGTGGACCCATATCACTGGTCCTATGTCGTTCAAAGTTTTTTGATATATTTGCATTACTTCCAAGAGAACTAACTCAGGAATGTTTATGTGTATCACATCAGATTTTTAGATAAAAACACTCTGAATTATAACATCAGTGAAAAACAAAATCTTAAAAATTTGACTGTAATACAATTTCTTCACGTGCTGATTAACATTAGATAGAGATCTTTTTCTTCTTCTTTTTTTGCGAACATAAAAAAAAGAAGAAAGAAACAGAACTCTGAAGATTCAGTCATCGAAGAACTTATATTTCCTCTATTCATTTTTCATGATTATCAACAAAGAATATGCACGATTTTATTAGAAAACAAGAAATGAATCTAATTTAGTAACTTAGAATCATTCAGTAAACTAAAGCAATGATTCTAACATACTGAACTCTAACAATGAGATCTTTTCAAGTGATGCGTTATGGACGACGGCCAACAGCAACAAATGTTGATTTAGCTCAATCAGTAAATCAGTTCTTAAGTTTGACATCTTTATCCAAACGTCGAACATCTATGTCATCAATTACTAACAAAGAACATCGAGGTTTCCAATTACCAAAAAGAATTCAGGAAATATTCACACAAAGGTAAATCAAATAGAGATTTGTTAATAATCATTTCTTTTCTTTTTTTTACCTCTCTGGAGTACACCATATATCAATAATTGATTGATAAACAAAAAAGTTTTTTTCTCATGATCTTCTATTTCTATGTCATTTTCTTAGTATTGTTTTCTTGTTCTATTTTCATAAATATATTCTATAAAAAATACCGACAAAATAATAATAATAGAAAAAGCAATTATTTCTTTTCTTATCATCCTTAAAATCTGCTTCATCGCATGCTTTACGTATACTATAATAAGAAGGAAAATAGTCTTTTTCAAACAAATACTTTCTATTATTTTGAATATTACATGCACTATGTTCATTATTTCCTAAGCTTCTCAAATAAGTATACAATAACTTCTACATTACAAACTAGATCCAAAACAATAGCTAATATGTGACTATTATTTAAATAAATTAACAAATAATAGATGAAAAAGAATATTTATTATCTTTGTTCTAGGAGAAATACATTACTTTCAAATATTGATTTATCTTTTCGACGATCAAATTCTCAACAATATGATACAATAGAATTACCAAAATCTCAATCAAATCTACGAAATTTTTATATATTTTTTTTCATACTTTTTCTTTTTCTTTTTTTGTCTATACTTTATTCATTTGTTCGCATGATTAATAATCTTGAATAAATACAATAAACAATATAAAAATATTTATTCATATGAATAATACCAAGCTGATTGAATAACTATCTTATCTTTTGATAGAATAAAATAAACATAATCATGATTATTACGCCATTCATAAATCCAAATTTTAGTATCGTGAGGATATTCATATAATTCATTATTACGTTTTAATTCAGATAGAAGTATTTCATCTGGTTGATCAAGAATTTTTGTTGGTGTACCCATTAAATGTTCGATTTCCTTTGTTGTTGTTCCTGGTTGACCTAAATGTTCTTGTAAATCAATCATTGCTCGATGACGATCACCATGATAATCATCAATAGCAGGGTGATGATCATGATTATGCCAATGACCAAGATGATTTTTTAAATGTAAATAAGTATGTGATGCTGTAATTAAATGTTTTGAAAACATGTTTTATATGTAAAATATCAATAGTATATGTCATACGAAGTTAAGAGTCCTTCTATTTATTATCCTTTAGTAAATAAAACAAAATATTTGATTAAGCTCTATGTAAAAGACTTATTATGTTGATAACCTTTTTCTTTGTACTTTAAGCAGTTCCTACTGCTATCTATTGAATATAATATTGATTTGTAATAAATCATCCAGTAGATAAAATATAGTCAATAGACTGTTGCAATCACTATATGAATTAATGAAAAACAATTAATAAATACAGGTAAGCTTTTAAGATTGTTTTTCTTGCAAACTATTTAACTAGGAATTCTCTATGGAAAAAAATCCGCTTTATATTTTTTCTTCCTATTGAAGGATTGACAAGTAGAGTATGTTATGAGTCATGAAAATGTCAAAATATTATTTTTACTTAATGTAATGTATGTAGAACAAAAAGAATAAACAGTAAATATCTTGAATAGTTATAGTTAATTATATCACCTACTAAGAAAAAATTCATCTTGAAGTTTTATTGACACAGTGTTTATTTATTATATACACTCTTGTAAAAGAATACTTTCAAAAGCTTAAGTCAATATTCATTCGTTTTGATGAAAACATATTCAGGACACTTAAATATTCTAGTGTATATACATCGTGCGGTGATAATGTCTTCTATTAACGAATCTCAATATGTCTAGATTAATTAATTATTTAATATAGTTATTCATCATGTTTTTATCGTGTAAGTAGTTGTTGATTAGTTTATCGAATTATTTTCCCTATTAAAAAAAAATTCTTTATAGTAAAAACAATTAAGACAGAAACTATTGATTTAAAAAATCATTTTAATCAGTCAAAAATAAAACAATGGTGGATTATAAAAGATAATTCAACATTAACAAATATTGTAAATAATCAATCATATAATTCAACAGAATTAACTCGTATTATATTAATTATATTGGTTCCTTTCTGTATTTTAATATATTGTTTTTATTATCATTGTTATGAATATCGATGTGGTAATATATTACAATGATATCTTTACCTGTCAGTTTAGTGATACTATTTAGTTAACTTTTTTATACACTAAATTATTATTTTTTTTTCGTGTCATTCATCTGTATCCTATCTGAATGTCATGCGTGCATATTCTTTTTCGTTCTCTTCATAAACTTGGTATTGCCAATAGCGATATATGTCATTACTTGATTTGTATGGAAGGAAACAACTGTTATTATATTACTTATTTATTATTATGAGAACAGATGATTACATCATTGTAAATGGTATTGGATATTTTTATGAGATTGATTTTCTTTCTTATAGATCAAATATAACTGGTAATATAACCTTGATAGATTTTTATCAGTTTATTTTTCCTATAATCATATAAGATACTTTTATGATTATATCAAATATTTTGTCTACTCGATTACTTATAAGATCTTTTTCTATGGCAAAAAAACATACCATTAACAATTCAAACTGTTCGTCAACTATTCTCAACTCCTTCGATCAACAAAAAAAAGAAAAATAACCGATCGAATGATCAATATATATAATGAGTCATCATCATCATTATTTACTTCTATATATTCATATATGTTTTTAGCATATGTAAAGCCAAGGACGACTATACCTTTTTTTTTATCAGTCTACTTTTCTTTAGATAAATAAATAAATACGACATATTATTAATTAGGATAAATTATGGGATTGTCAAATAGTTGTCTACCAATAAAACGTAATAATGCAGTATCAAAATCAAAGTCAGAACAACATCATGAAATAGTTTCAAATAATGCAATTAAAATAAATGAAGCATCAGAAGATGTATTATTATTATTACCTGGTATTACTAGACAATTAGCACATAATATAATTCAATATCGACACGTAAATGATGGTTTTAAACAATTAAATGAAGTTTTAGAAGTTGATGGTATAACTTCGAAGGTATTTAAACTTATACATAATGATATAACTATTGATACATTAACTCCATCTTCGTCAAATAAGAAAAAAGAAACGATAAATCTTAATTCAGCATCATATAATGAATTACGTACAGTACCTGGTTTAACAGGAAATCTTGTTAAACGTATAATTAAACGTCGTGATCGAAAAGGATCATTTCGTTTTATTGAAGATTTACTTAAAATTAAAGGTATTAATTATGTTATTTTAGCAGCTGCTCGTCCTTATCTTACTATTGATCGTCAGCAAATGACAACTTCTATGAGTGATTCATCAGTAAATAATCTTTATCCAACATTAACACGAAATAATCATAAGACTGATACATTTTCAGTTGCTTCACTTCTATTAGAAACATTACCAACTGAATTACAAACAATACTTATTTCATCACCTCCTCGACATCCATCTTCTTTTCATGATAATAATAATAACAATATGAATCCAAATATTTTTCGTTTTGCTTCATGGAATTTACAACAATTAACCAATGATAAAGTACAAAATCCTGGCGTTCGAGAAGTTATTTGTCGAGTTATACTTGCAAATAAGTATGAACAAATGAAAAGTTCTTTACACTAAATAGAATGTTTATCTATTTAGTTTTTCGTTAATTGGTATTCAAGAAATTGGCAATAAAGAAGCTCTTGATTTAATTATCAAAGAATTAAATAGTCCAACTATTCCATTACTTAAAGATTGGCCAAATCGTAATCGTGGAAATTGGAAATATACTATGAGCGATGTAGCAGGACAAATGTTTCAAGTAAATCATAAATTCTATCTATTTTCTTATTTATACTATTACTTTTAATATAAAAGGGATCAGAATATCTTGGATTTCTATATAATGAATCAGTTGGTATTGAATTAAAACAAGCTTCATTATTATCATCAAAAACATATTTTACTTGTTCACCATATATAACTATATTTCGTATCTATAATAAATATGAATTAGTTTTTGTTAATATTCATTTGGAAAGAAGAAGATTAGATGACAATGAAATTAAAGCATTATCAGTTTTAATTCAAGCTATGAAAAATACGATTAGTAAGATTAAAAGAATAAGTTTGATATTTTCTTTTCTTTTCTATATATAATTAACTTTTAAGAACAAAAACATATCATTATTTTTGGTGATTTTAATAATGTACCAACAGCTCCAGAATTTCAAGCTTTGGTAGCATGTAATTATTCGTATACTATACAAGAAAATAAAGATGTTAGTCCAAAAACAACACAAGGATCAACATGTGTACATAATATTTGGTTGTCGGAAGAAGCAAAAGCATTGAGTACAGGTATAATCTAATTTTATTATTGATTCATATTATTATTATTATTTGTATTTTTATTTTAGGAAATTCAGGAGTTATACGTGATAATCTTACGAGTTTGTGGATTCCTTCTGGTTGGACATGGGGTGGTTTAGTAAGTGATCATTGTCCAATTTGGACTGAATTTGACTTATCTTAATTGAATACAAAGTATTTCTCTCAAAAACAATGCATATTTATTTTCAATACATATATTTTTTTATTAAGACTTTGCATTTAGTATTATAAATATAAAATAATTATATATGAATATTTAAGTGCTCTATTTTATATGTAAAAGTGATGTTATATTTGTAATAAATTTTAAAAAATAACCTATTAGATATGATACGTATCTTGATTTGAAGGGTATGAGTAAATGAAACAGAATATCCAAACCCACACCCTCAAGGTAAATTGTTAATTGACTTGGATGATCTTGACTTTAAATAAGAAATAAAAATGATACATAAGACTTATCAATAAGATGGAAAAAATCTCTTTTATTCGAACTAAAACTACAATACAAATGAAAAAAATTTAAAAAAAAAATAAAAAGTACTAGTGTTCTTTCTTTTCGTTGACATCATGTTGAAATCTCCATGCTGCGATTAAATAAAGAAAATCAAAAATGCTTAAGCAAACACTTAAGCTTTTTATTGCAACAATACCAATAATAAGATCTATTTTTCTTAACGATATTACCATACTAAAAAATGCAATGATTGTTGTGCAGATGTAGTTAATCGAGAGTCCAAAAAACTTGAGATGCATGTTGTGGACTACTGCTCCAGTAACACCGACCACAAAGCCGAAAACGGCGAGCGTATTATCACTAAATGTGCACAATGGATCAGTTTGATCGTAATGACTAAAGCATACCCAGAACGAACATTACGGCCATCGGATCCTACGGGAACCCGCCCATATTTTTTGAGATGGATATTTCAGCTAATGGTAAAAAAACGTAGGTTATAACGAAAATGAACATTTAATAATAAAATAACAATTACCTATCATTAAATATAAAGTGCAGTAAATCGATAATTTATATAGATATAAAGAAGATTTTATATGAATATAAAAGAAAAAACATGAAAAAATAAATAACAATAGAGTTTTCGACCATTGACAGATAGTAAAGGCGGTCATCATCAGTAATACCATCTTGAGGGTGTGGGTGTAGATATGGGTGTAGGGTGATAGGTGTGGATGTAGTTGTGTGTGTATGTTTAAAATAGCTTATATAACATCAAAGGTGTCGAGGGGTCTGTATAGACCCACACTTCAGTTTTTTAATCGTAAGGCTTTAGTATGAAGTTCAATATGGTGTATATCCATCATCATGTGACTAACGATTAGCAGAGAGATGACCCCGAAAGTGATGCGTCTTCGTATAGAAAAATCAAAAAAAATAGTATTGTGGGTCTTGTCGGACCCACACAAACCGTTCGAGGGTTAAACTACCTAGAGTTGTCACTTCACGAAAAAAGCACATCATTCTTGAGTAATGAAAATGAAAGAACGTTATTCCTTAAATATAAAAGCGGTAAATATGGAGGCTCTAACGAGGTGCACTCTAATTGTCCTGTCTTTGAAGTAGTACTCTATTTCCGTGCTGGCGATTTGAGATAGCGAGCGGAGTTCCTTGGTGGAAGAAATGGAGCTGGCGGATTGGAGGTCCCATTTCGAGCGGCCGACTGCGTTGTGTTTGACGACCCACCGGTCGTTTGCCTTTGGTTCGACGACTCAGGAGCCATCTCATTGGAAATACTTTTCAATGGCTTGCCTTCCACGAGAAAAACTGGAAAGGTAATGGCAGTGACGCCAAAGGCAGCGGCTAGAATTGCGTATGTCATTCCAGTGACACTAATATAAAACACACCGATCATTACCATGGCTAAGATCAACCCACTGACGCCGAAGACAAGTACGAAGACCCATATAATAAGTAGTTCTGGCCGTTCAAATCTCTGAAGAAAGCCGCAGCAAGCATCGCAACCTCGTCTGATCCACCATTGGTGGCCAGACCCTTTGGGTCTCTTTTCATAGGCGAAAATACACTTTTTACAGACTTTGTCGAGCCCATAGCAGCAGCAGTCATCGAATTCGAATTCATCAGGATTGACGCAACAGCAGTAGTGTTTGCGATCAGAACTATCGGAGTTATTCCTTCTTTGTGACGGACTTGGTTCACCTGTAGTCATGTCTTTTCTTTTCAGAATGTAAAGGTTGAAGCGAAGAAAGAAAGTCACAAACACGCCGAAAGCAGCCATGAGTGCTGCAGAGAGACCAATCTGATCAAGAACGTCGTGGGTTGTGATATCTTTTTTGAACCAACGATAGCAGGTGACGTGACCAAGAGACGCGCTCACCACTAGATCTGAAGAGCTACAGTTGAAGTACGTACGAGCTGGAGAGTAATCGTAGCAATCATATGGTCCTTCGTCTGGACAGACTCCGTTCGGATCAACAGATACAACTATAAGAATGAGTCCATCGAAGAAGACAACCAAGACTGCAGTGAAGACGGCTGCAGCCATAATGACGAGGGCTGCTTTCAGACAAAAATATTTACAGTAAGGAGCTCGTTTAATACAGAGTTTTTTCTTGCAGCAGGCTGTGTTTCGGAAGGCGCAAGTGTTGCTCTTCGGTATCTGGATCTTGTCTTCTTCGTAGAAGTTGAGTTCAATGATATAGTTTTGGGGACTGTCTTCGCAGGGTTTACGTGGACGTCGACAGCAGATGCAGCAACCGAAGGGACAGTACCAGCAGCAGCAACAGCTCTGCGTCTCGTCATCAGGAGTCTTGTAATGACAACACCACCCTTCTGGCTCCAATACTGGTGAGTTGTGCTGCTGTGAGTTTTGGCGCTTGATGTTTTTGAAATCGATACCGAACAGAAGTTTGATGAAAAGGTAGAAGGTATCTGTACGGCAGATTAGCAAAGCTATCATGAGTACAGCACTGAAGAAAGCGAGACCGAAGCTAATGCCAAAATTAGCAGCGAGATATTGGTGGTGTTCCCACGGCATTTCTTATTCGTAGGCACACGATATGTTGTAGCTGCTTAAAAAAATCTATGGCGTTCTTTTAGGAAGTTTCTTCCAGAAATTCGGGGAATAATAAGCTACAGCGGTGCAACTTAATCTACAACATATAATTTTAAAGTGATGGGTTTCATCCAACAGAAAAGGCAGATGTCATGAGTGTTTGCTGCTGCAATTTTATTCTCAGACAAGGAATCTAAATAGTGAGATGAAATGTAAACATCGTTACTGTTTTACGGTAGCTATGTGGGTTTGTTTTATTATGATCTGGTATGAAAGAAACAAGAAAATTTTTTTAATTAAATTCAAGCCAACATAGTGATCATGAGGATGATTGAGATTTTATGTAAAAAAAACCAAACAAAGAAATATTTTTCTAATTATTTTTTATTCTAAGAAAAAATTAAACAAATATGTATACAAATACTTGTTGAATAACTGTAAAGGAGAGGAAGAAAACAGAGGGAAAAAGATATTAATAAATATTTTTAACAATAGATAACCGTATAATGAGCGAAGCCTTTCAAATTTCTTTTCAAGCGATGTGTGAGGAGGATTTTTGTAAATATTATTATAAAATGATATTAATCTAGAAGCATATTATCAAGCATGATACTAATGCTGAGGAATATTATAAATCTTAATATCAATGTAACGCAATATTAATAATCATGATATTAATGTAGAAGATACTGTGAATATTGATTTTAATGCAACAGAATATTGCCAATAACAATATTAATGTAGAAGACTATTGTCAACAATGATATTAATGTGGAAGAATATTATCTTGAAGGTGTGGTTGTGGCTGCATGTATGATACTTATAGTCTCATACCCACACCCATCTTTCGAACAACTAAGAGAATCATTGATACATCAGGAGGATAGCAACGTGTGCGTAACGCGTGACAATCAGACAGCATCTTGAGGATGTGGACGTGGGTGTGAGTGTGGGTATGGGTATGTATTGATTATTAAGCTTACAACCACATCCTACTCATGGGCAATGTCTTATTTTCCTCCTTTTATTCGAATTTCCTTCTTTTTTTTTAAAAAATCCTTCTTTCTGGCGACCCTTGTATAATATAGGTTAAATTTTTTTTATTGTATCATTATATCTTCTTAGGAAGGTGTTCATCGACATCATCAGTTTCTGTCAATAATATTCATGGTTACACGTATATGAGTCTACTAATTATATTATTGTACATTGACTCTATATTATCAAGTTCATTAGCTCAATGGTTCTATTCATATATTTCTCATGATCAATTGGTAAAACCCTATCGATGGTTCGGTTGGTATCGTAAGATATTCATTTGTATTACTGGTGCTTTGATTGGCAATCAACTAGTTAATGTATTAGCATGCCGACCAATTGAAATCTTCTATGATATTCAATATATGTATCAATACTAATTGTGCAAATATTTGTTTTTTTTATTTGTCTTCTCTTTGCTTTTCTTCTTGGTGTTAAGTATGCATCAGTCCATCGCGGACGTTAACTACAAAAACCTCTTCAATATTTGTCACATTAATGTAGATTAGAAACATTTATAAAAAAAATTCTTTATTTTCGTTCAATTTTTTTTTCTACATTCTAAAAATTGGAAAATATGTATCGAAATAAATATGAATAATTTTTTACGATTATATTGGATGAAATGAGTAGAATCATTTTTTAGACGAAGATGAATATAGTAACGTTTATAACTGAATGTACACATATTATCAATAGATTTCATTTTTTGTTTATTCTTTCTTTCGTACAACAAACACTTCTTCTCATTATGATTAGATACAAAACAAAGGGTGAATGTGTGTATATGTGTCATATCTATATCGCATTCACCCCTCAGTATTCTTTTCAAAACTTCTCATAAGATAACCATTTCTTTTTTGGAATTAAAGCAGTACTTTTTTTTTATGTCCTATAAGAATGAGCTTTTTTGCGTATTCATTTTATTTTTACGTACAAAAATAGGAATAATAGCACTCTTGTTTTATTTTATTAGTAAGTAGATCAATAAAATATCTATTATTTAATTGAGACGTTAATGAGACTGAATAACTAATATTACACCTATACTATCACCCTCAATATTCACTTAGGAAAAGTCCATTGAGTATCAGCTGGATATTGCAATAACATCGAATATGGATAAACATATCCTGAACTGAATGGATATATAACAAGTGTCACTGTTGTTGTATAAGATGGTTCATTCGATAGAAATCCTGCCACTGCTCGAGCAAAATGTCGACAATCATTTAATCCAACTTCATAATTACCAAAAGTTTGTATATGTTGTAATACAAAAGATTTTAAATCACTTGCTTTTCTATTCGTTATTTC